GGAATTCAATTGTTACAAATTTATGTTAATGTTATGTGCACGTCTTAAAAGTGTTTGAAGAGCGTAGAGAATGTAAATATTTTTAGATCTGATTTGAATAAATGTTAATGCCAATATTTTAAGGAAAATATAAGTAAAAAAAAACTGGTCTATTTTTGAGGGGAAAAATAAAAAATTGGTCATTTTTGGAGGGAAAAAATAGGAAATACGAAATTTTTTTTAAGTGAATTTTCGAAGAGAAAAATAAGAAAATAACTTGAAAATTTTTGTGGGGAAAATAAGCAAAAAATTTCTCAATTTTAGAGGCGAAAAGTTGAAAAATTGGCTAAATATTGTGGAGGAAAATTTCCAATTTTGGAAATGAAAAAATAAGTAATGATTTGCCAATGTTTGAAAGAAAAAAAAATGCGAAAAATACAAGCCAATTTGAGGAGATAAAATAAAAAATTGGGAAAATTTTGTGGGAAAAATTAGAGAAATTTTTTTACATTTTTTATGGGAAAAATTATAGAAAAATTTGGGAACTCTAAAAAAATTGCTAAACTTTTGGGAAAAAATTAAAGAAAAACTTGTGAACTTTTGAGGTCAAAAACAAGAAAAAAAATTGGTCAATTTCTTAGGAAAAAAATAAGTAAAATATTAGGTTGTCAAATATCTCCCTTCCGCTTTTTTGTCTTTTGAATTTCGCGGCTATATACAAAGCGCTACAGACCTCTGGCAACACTATACATTATTTGAAAGGTCTTGATATAACCTAGAAAACAACGCTATGCATGATTAGTTTGGATATTGCGTTCAACAGTTATAGACGTGTAAGCATGGAGTTCACTAACCCCGAAAATCGCGCTATTTTAAAGTTTTCCTTCGTTAAAGTCAAATCCGCTAGAGAAACGTTCCGTGAGATTACTGGTGTTTTGGGGGATGGTACTCTATCACTTCGAACCGCGGAGGAATGGTTTCGACGATTCAGAGCCGGTGAAAACGACACCATAGATAAGCCAGCCGGCGGAAGACCTGTGACGACAAATACCGATCAAATCATGGAATACATCGAGTTAGACCGGCATATGGCATCTCGTGACATTGCCCAGGAGATGGATGTTTAGGTGCCGCATAATTTGACGCAAAAAAACCTTCTGGACCGTATTAACGCCTGAGATATGCTGCTGAAACGGAACGAACTCGACCTATTCTTGAAGCGGATGGTGACTGGCGACGAAAAATGGATCACATACGACAATATCAAACGAAAACGGTCGTGGTCGAAGGCCGGTGAATCGTCCCAAACAGTGGCCAAGCCGGGGTTGACGGCCAGGGAGGTTTTGCTGTGTGTTTGGTGGGATTTGAAGGGAATCATCCACTATGAGCTGCTCCCATATAGCCACACGCTTAATTCTACCATCTACTGCGAACAACTGGACCGCTTGATGCAGGCGATCGACCAGAAGCGTCCAGAATTGGCTAACAGGAAGGGTGTAGTGTTCCACCAGGACAACGCCAGACCACACACTTCGTTGATGACTCGTCAGAAGCTACGGGAGCTCGGATGGGAGGTTTTATCGCATCCACCATACAGCCCGGACGTAGCGCCAAGTGATTACCACCTGTTCCTGTCCATGGCGAATGCCCTTGGTGGTGTGAAGTTGAACTCAAAAGAGTCTTGTGAAAAGTGGCTGTCCGAATTCTTCGCAAATAAGGAGGGGGGCTTCTACGAAAAAGGTATCATGAAGTTGCCGTCTAGATGGAAACAGATCATCGAACAAAACGGCGCATATTTCAACTAAATCCGATCACTGTAACACTTTTCATAAAGTATTGAATGAAGAGCAAAAAATCGGAAGGGAGATATTTGACAACCTTATATAAAAGAAAAAATATTCAATTTTTAAGAGAAAACATAGAAAAAGGACAATATTTTAGGAATTAAATGGAATTTCAGCTAAGATAGAATAGAATAGCACCAAAGTATCTTCCCAAAGAATGAAAGGGCATTCGAAACACATAAGCAGAAAACGTGCCTTGCTATTTGTGGTATGAGCATTCTACTGTTTTCCTTTTTCTTCCATTTGCTAGATTAGTACACCTACTTCTTCCCAAACACTGATGACAAACTCTAGAAAAAAGAAGAAAAGTACACAATTTGTGGTGAAACTAGAAAACTGTATGTACGTCCAACAGTTGCGACATGTTTTACAAGCAGCAGTTAGAGCTACTAAGGAGAATGATGAAAAATGCATGAAATGCTGTAAAAATGACCACCACAACTTTATGTAAAAGAAATTAGAAAAGGAGCACCCTAGAGCGGCAAAAATGGGTTTCGGTGAATTCTTGAGCCAAAGAAGTCAAAAGAAGTTAGCAAAGAAATGTCTTAACAAATATGATAATAAAAATGTATGCACAGGTAGAGAAGACTACTAGTTATTCACTAGTATGTCAATAGTTTGCATTAACTATCACTTTCATTCTTTGCCCATTTTATTTTGTTTCTCCCTCCTTTTCCTTTGCATAATTTAAAATAAAGTTTTATTTTTAATACCACAATCAATAAGCCTATTGAACAATAGTAACAAGTTCAAAATTCTATTCAATATGCGCTAGTGAAGATAGCTTATTCAAAATCAATTAATTTCCCCTGTTTTCTCAACACACCAATCGTGAGACTGACCATTCAATCAATGTATAGAATCAAAATGCAGAGTGAGTCATCGCTGTGCATGCTACTTTGTTGTTGGTATTTATTAACATTAAGCGTGTATTATTCCACAATTTGATAGCCAATTCGCACAGTTAGCGAAAGAAAGTGAGTAAAAAATAACATTGCTTAGATGAGTTCAAAAAAAGTCACTCATACGCCGTGGCGTGCGTACGTGGGATACAAGCTGTTACTTCGCCTAGGCGTAAAAATGTCCAAAATGTGATTTGCGTGTGAGTGACATACATATTCGATGTACACTAAGCGCTCACACACATACAAATAAGAGTACCTGTTACGACGTGGCGACATATTTGAGTGGCATTTGACAGAAGTAAAGTGATTTATCATCGGATTTTCGGATGCCTAAACATTCATTTTGCAATGAATGAGTGATGACACAAGCGTTTGTATTGGACTGTATCACTGGAGCTAACCACGCATGTTTTATTGGGATAAAACGCTCAACCAAATGAACAAAATAATCAATTATGCTCAAAAGTCTCCGCGTTATTTTTCGTAAATTTTTTGAAATCTTTTTTTTTTTTTAAGCTAATTTTACTCAAGTATTTTTTGATTATCTTTGATCTTTTTACCATTTTTCGGTTTGCTCGTATTTTAACCAGCGTAGAAGTTCTGTGGCTTATAGGCGTAGAACTTGGCTAAATGATTTTAGGCCGCCCCACGGTTGGTTGCAGAGGCCACGACTGAATGGTAGACCGATGGTGCAAAGTCTGAGTTATATGGTAGTGATGATTGTGATGAACCAACTTTCCAACGAAGTGCCTTTAATTTGTGTCTGATCACCAAAGATGTATGTGATCTGGCGTTGTCAGGGTTTTCTGTTTAAAAACTGGTTGTGGGTGGCACACGATTTTTTGATTTTTTCGTTATTCTATATTCTCGAATTTAGACAGTTTTTCAATGCTTATAATGCGTCGTTTCACTGAGGGAAATTATTTATTATTTTTTTTTTGTCGTTTTGTTGACAGCCTGCTCACTGTAAGCCCCTTAAATTTTTCAAAATTTTTTTTGCAGTTAATTTACTTTTTTATAGGAAAAAAAGCTGCACGGAACATATTTCTTCGGTGATTTTACACATTTTCAAACTAAAATTATATTTCACACGAATAATGGCTTACAAAACAGTTACAATAGTAACCGACATTTTTTAAATACCGTTAATAAGTGAAACTAATAATGAAAATATGAATGCTTCGAGAAATAAAATCGAATTTAATATGACAAAATCAAAAGATTACTCATACGCACCGTACGTCACTGTACAAATAAAATGACTGTAACCCAAAGAGCAATACATATATTGTGTACACTATTTACTACATATGCACACACATATGTACAATATGAAACGTAATACTTACAGGCAGCATAGTGCATAGCGAAAACGTTAAACAAGAGAAACTACAATTAAAAATAGGGGGAAAAAAAGAGAACTCACATTATTGATGACAGCTATTAAACGGTTTTGCTGTACTGTTATTTTGCTACTCACTCAGGTGATGCTAAAAACCTAGCCTAACCTTACTTTGCCTATTTTTTATACCACTGGCCACATATGGTCAGTGTGTTGATGATAAAAAGGTGAATGAGCCTGGTAGCTATACACCGCTGTGTGTGTTATAGGGTTCTGGTGAAGTGAACGCGATCACAGTGCCATCATACTGCTCATTTCATATTCAATATTTATTTGTAGAAAGTACATGCGTAGAGCAGAAAATATCATTCAATGCTTATTTGTATATATGTGTATCAAGTGCAAAATACGTTTTGGGATGAGTTCATACATACGTCTTCGTACGAGGAGGAGCTAAAGGAATACCGTATTTCCTCACAATTACCTTCTCAGAGGGTTGTTAGGTCGATCGTCACCTTCAAGTAAGAATTTACAAGTGAAAGCGGGGCTTAGCATCTCACCACGTCCTTCCCAGAAAAGGAGAGTGCCTTGTAAACTTTGATATGCTCACAAAGACGGGGAGCAATAATTCATCATGACTGCCTTGACTATGGATTCATTTAAAGAAAGAATTACTTCTAGTAATTTCTGAAGCTCCTGAAAGAGCTTTAATAGGACAATATCGGTATTTAAATCACCTTTGATATGTACCGTATTTTTTCATATAGAAAGCTAAGCGATCCCGGCCAATCTCCAATTTCCCTTTTTACTCCCACCTCGATGCTTCTATGGCCAAGGTGATAATCTGTTTAGTCAAAGATAAAAATGAAAATCGAGCGGAAGAGGAAAGTGGAGAGCAAGAAGAGGATAGATATAAAGATAAAGAGAAAGATGCAGATGGATATAGAGACAAAGACGAAGATGAAGATCAAGATAAAGACAAAGATGAAGATGGAGAATGACAATGATAAAAATGAAGATCGAGGCAAAGATAAAGATGCAGATGAAGATAAAGATAACGATAAAGATGAAGATAGAGACAAAGATAAGGATGAGGATAAAGATAGAGATAAAGACAAAGATGAAGATGAAGATAAAGACAACGATAAAGATGAAGATAGAGACAAAGATAGGGATGAGGATGAAGATAGAGATAAAGACAAAGATAAAGATGAAGACAGAGATAAGGAAAAAGTTCTCAATGATGAAGATAAAGGCAAAGATAAATATAAAGATGAAGACTAAGATAAAGATTAAAACACAGACAAAATTGAAGTTAAAAATAAAACTTAAGATAAAGATATAAAGACAAAGATAAAGATAACAATGATAACAGAGATAAAGACAAAGATGAAGATGAAGATAAAGAGAACGATAAAGATGAAGATAGAGACAAAGATAAGGATGAGGATAAAGATAGAAATAAAGACAACGATAAAGATGAAGAAAGAGATAAAGGCAAAGGCAAAGATGACAATAATGACAGAGATAAAGATAAAGATAAAGTTGAATGATGAAGATAAAAACAAAGATAAGTATAAAGATGAAGGTTAAGAAAGAGATAAAGATACAGATAAAATTGAAGATAAAAATGAAGATTAAGATATAAAGATAATGACAAAGATAAAAATAACAATGATGAGCAAAATGAAGTTGACAATGATGAAGATAAAGAAAGACAAAGATAAACAAGAAGATAAAGTTAGAAATAAAGTCACAGATCAATATGAAGATGAAGATAAAGGCAAAGATAAATACAAAGATGAACATGTAGACAAAAGAAAATATAATGATGACAACGAAGAATATAAAGATTAAAATAAAGAAAAAGTAGATAAAGATAAAACATAAAGATGAAAATTAAGATAAAATTGGCAACGAAGATAAGGCTAAAGATAAAGATGAAATGAAAGATGAACGTGAAGATGAAAATAAAGATGAAGATGATAATAAAGATGAAGATACAGATGTCAACGTTTCAATGCGATTAACAGCTTTCTTAAACTTGGCGCCCTGGAACAAGGACCACACTAGTCAAGTATGGCATACTACTATGCAATGGATCAAGGGAAGTCTGAAATGATCAACATATGAAGTTATTGAAAATTGCAAGAAAAACCTTCTAATTATAGTCGCGCTTGGCAGTGATTCTCAATCCAGTCGATTGTGGTATTTACATAAACTGAAAAGTTACTCTACTCACTCTTTAACCCTTTGTCGGCAGCTTGGAAGTGACTGTAGTTCACTTCATTTGTAGGAAAAGCATCAAAACACACATCACTAATAGAAGGAGAAACTCTGCAGCAAAGTTTATAAAATGGAAATTATTTCCAAAAAAGCCATCTAAGGCAAATTTATAACTATTAGTATTTTGCTGAATATTGCTGAATTTTCATTTTATTTAATTTTTTGGTTTATTTTTCTGTAATAAATTACTTTAATATTCGAAAAAATAATGCATGCGCCTTAAAATTCTAATACTCGTACACGAACAAAATTATTTATTTTTTCACAAAAACTTGTTGAACAAAAAGGCAACAACAAATTTTATTATATTTCGCCACACAATCACAAAAGACCTTAAATTATTTATTAACTCGATAAAAAAGTTGAAAATATTTTTGTTACAATATTAATAGAAAAATAAATTTCGTACCTCAATCCGCCCAGTGGCTATTTGAAAGAGTTTTATGAATAAACGTGAAATAAGTAAGGCGAATAGCAGACGGGAGACAAAAACCCATATTTGCGTATATTTGTACATGCATGGAATCATAAGAAAGCGAGAGAGAGAGAGAGAGAGAGAGTTACGAGCAGCGAAAGGTAGAGAGAGACTGAGGGTACAGAGAAAGAGAGAGAGAGAGAGAGAGTTACGAGCAGCGAAAGGTTACTGCGTTTTCTTCTTTTTGATTCCCTTTTTGCTGGAAGAAACTTATTTGTTTGGTCACCATATTTTGTAAGCAATTGCGTGTCACGTGTAATTTGCCCAGCGGGGCAAAACCGAAACAACAACAAAATAACGTAACCGAAACAGCCAGCCAAGTAAATAAACTATATCGGGCAACTTGTTTGAGAACAGCGAGCAATAACAAAAAGAGAACAAGAGCAGGCAAACAGCACAAAAGTAACTCAATTTATATAAATACAAATACCAAATAATTGCTTTGCCCTAAGGAGAGACGTAAACAGTTGTTCACATACATGCATACATATGTGTTTAGTTATATTACACAATGCGAAACAAATTGTGTAGCGAACGACAATAATGTTGCCCAAACAAAATAAGACAATAATAATCACACTAATAATAATAATATACCACATGCGTAAGTATGTTTGTTACTAGTCAATAAAAAAAAACTTTCAGTCATTGAAGAAAAAATCGTTGCATATTTCTGGGCGATTTTTTAGTTTTTATACTCTACTGGCTTAACAGTTCATCGTATAAAGAAACCTCCAATGAATTCCAGCGTAGAATAATTCTGTAGATTATTTTAACCCTGTAAAGGCTTTTCCGAAAGGGGGTTTTGAGTGATTTCTCAAAATACGGATCAAAACGACTCTTTTAGGTGGGCGTTATTTATGATATCAAACCTTAGTAGGACGGTATGGGTGATACAATTATTATAGCGCTTCAAATCACTGAAATAAAAAGACAACTCTAAACTTATTTTTAATAGCAAAATTAAAATTAAAATTAAAAAAAAAACAAAAAAATTAAATAAAATAATTAAAACAAAATAATTAAATTATAATTAAAATTAAAATTAAAAAAAAAAAACAAAAAAAATAAAATAAAATAAAATAAAATAATTAAAACAAAATAATTAAATTATAATTAAAACTAAAATTTCAACTAAAATCAAAGTTAAGGCGGCAATTAAAATTAAAGTTAAAATGGAAATGAAAATTACAATAAAAAAGCAAATTAAAATTAAAAAAAAATAAAGTTGTAATTAAAACAAAACCTAGAGTTAATATTAAACTTGAAATTAAAATGAAAATTAAATTAAAAACTTATATTCAAATCGAAATTCTAATTAATATTCACATAAATGTAAAATTATAATTATCCACAATTAAAATTCAAATCTATGCTAAATTGAAAATTAAAATTAATTTTGACATTAAACTTAGAATTAAAATTTAAATAAGAAATGAATAAAATTTAATAAAAATTAAGCTCAAAATGAAAATTAAAGCTGAACATAAATTAAAAATTATATTTTTTATATAAGTTTATATTAAAAATAATAATTATAACAAAAACTAAAGATAAAGTGAACATAAAAATATAAGTTAAAATTAAAATAACAATAAAAAATTTCATTTAAATCAAAAATTTAAGTAAAGCTCCAAAGAATTAAACATAAAATTAAATTCAAAATCAAAATTAACTCCAAAATTAAAATTATAATTGGAATTAAAATTATAATTGAAATTAATATTAAATTAAATTTAAAGTAAAAATTAAATATAAATAAAAATTAAAACTAAAATTAATTATATTTAAACCGAATTTTTTTTTCTATTTTCAAGACGAAAAAAAAGTCGATTAATTGAAAAACAGACGACAAATTTTGTTTCAGTCAAAATACTGCTATTTTCAATTCACCATCTGCTTTTTATCTGCCCTTCCACGGCCACTTTGACCATGTGTTGGCATTTATTGGCTGCACGAGAAAATGTTGTAAATTTCAATTTCCCTTAACTCATTTTTGGCGCACAAATATTTCATTCACTCAAAATAGTTAAGTGTCAAATAAATAAGAGTGCACTTAGTGTCACCGATGCTTTTCGAAAATATGCATGACATTTATTGGCGTTCAAAAATTCAGCAATATTTTTGTCATTTTCATTTCACGGAGTACTTTCTATTATAAATATGTATACAAGTGTGGCTTGTTTGCCACAAAAATAGCTCAATGAAAGGAGATATTTGAAAATAAATTGTATTCGAGTTGATTTTAAATTTTTATCGGTGATTGAGAGTAAACGTTGAATATTAAGTGATGTCGTGTGTAAGTAAAATTTGTTGATTCATTTGAATTCGGAAAAAAATAAATAACTAAAAGAAATCAGATAAAAAAATTATTTTTTCAATAAAAACTTAAAATTAATTAATTTTCTTTTCATTTAAATAAAGTGAAAAAAGAAGTAGAAGAGTTTTTTAGTTAAAAATAAAACAATTTCCGTAAAAAATTGAATCTTTTTCACTAAAAAATTAAATATTTTTGCTAAAAAATATGTATAAATTAATAAAAAATTAAAATATTTATTAAAAGATTAAAATTAAAAATTAATAATTGTTTATACATAAAAGTCTTACAATATTTCATAATAAAATAGAACTAAAATTAATTATATACATTTAATCAATTCAATTTACCACGAAATTCTCCAGAAGAAAACCACCTCCAGACTCACGAGTACAGCGCGCAATCCCCCCCAAATAATTTCGTTAACGGTAATTAAATTCGACTACTAGTTATACAGTTGACCATCTAATGCTATGCTATTATGTAAGTATGTGTACATTGCTAACTTATTTACAACAACTTGGTGACTTGATGAAATAATTACATGCTACGCTGAGTGAGCTGAGAGACTGTGTCCACCAAGCGTGGGATAAAGTGAATTTAGGAATAGGAGTAGGCAGACAACGCCTTTGTGTTCAGAGCAAATGGACAATTAGAAATTGTAAATGGGGCGGTATTTTATGCATATTAGATGTTGATGCACTGAGTTCATTTGTGATTAGAATGGTTTCATGAAAAATATTACTGGAAATGTCTGATTACAGTCGCGTTTTAGTTTGTAAGATAAGTGTTGCCCGAAATAAGTGTATGAACACCATTTAGTGAGAGAGAGCGCGAAGACTTTCTTCTAATATATAAATATTTATACGAGTATACATATATATGTATGTTTTTCGTTATCAAACATATTTTTGTATTTTTATTTTTATTTTTATTTTTAATTTTTATTTTAATTTTAATTTTAATTTTAATTTTAATTTTAATTTTAATTTTAATTTTAATTTTAATTTTTATTTTAATTTTAATTTTAATTTTAATTTTAATTTTAATTTTAATTTTAATTTTAATTTTAATTTTAATTTTAATTTTAATTTTAATTTTAATTTTAATTTTTATTTTTATATTTTTAATCAAAAAAAATTTACTTGTTTATAATATTTTTTAATTTCGAAGTTTTATATTTATATTCTCTTTTTATTTCAGTTTTTTTTTCAATTTTCCATATGTTCTTATATTTTTATTTTTTTCTTTTCTTTAAATTTTTGTACAAAAATACATTAGTTGATTTCTATCTTTATGTTTATTTTTTTGAAACTATTTCTACCTTTCTATTTTTTTTTTAATTGTGTATACTATTTTCTTATTTATTTATTTTTTTCATTTTATTTATACATAAAAACTTTTTTAAATTTTTATTTTTTCTATTTTTAATTTTTTCATTTTATTTTTTCTCTGTTTTACTTTTTTTAATTATC